CAGACTCTTCCCTTTCTGACTCTGCAGTGTTGGGCAAGTCTCATGTGTTCTCCTTACCTCAGTCTCAACCATTGGTTAAATGAAGTGTTTGCCTGGAGGAATTCTACAACCAACACTATGATGATTTGCCATCACTGAGGTCGGAGGTCAGCAAATTGTGGCCAGCAGGCCAAACCTAGCTCACTGCCTGTTCTTGTGAGTGAAATTTTGCTAGAACATAGCAATGTTTATTCTTGAACTTGTACCTGCATCTGAATTTATGGTAGGACAGTGCAGATGAATGAATACGACAGCGATTGTATGGCCCGCACATTCTAAATTGGTGATTACCTGTCCCTTTTCAGAAAAACAGACCCCTGTTCTATCATTTCCCATTCCAAAAAAGGAGAAGAAATGGGGGCCATGAGGACTTGCTTTAACATTTTAGACAAAAAGCTGATTTCTGTCAAGCAACTGCTAGTATCTGAATATACCTTGGGAACTTCAGGGGGGTTAGGTGGAAATGTTCTAAGAGACCGGCACACCCAAGTCTGTGTCTGCAAGGATTCCTGAGTAAGCAATGTCCTGGGTGCATCAGTGAGATTGCAGCCAAAATATCTACCCCTGCAGTGCCTGTATCAGCTCTTTCCGGCCCACGTGCAGGATGCTTGGGGTGGGACAGCGAAGGAGAAGGCTTGGGTTCTATGATCAAGGTCACTCTGGAGGAAGAAGTGAGGGGAAAACATCTCTCCTGGTAAAATTCAGCACCATCAAGCCATCGCTTCCACAGGGAAGGTATCTCTGCCCGGGAGAGGCCACAGGAGCGGGAGGAATCCTGATCACACTGTCACGAGCTGAGCTCTGCATGCACTGCTTCTGCTTGCTCAGTGCCTCTCCCTGGCCTTGTGTTTTCACCTCATTTTCAAAACATCTCCACGGGGTGTGCAGGTGTTGGAATCTTCATCATTCTGTATTTCGCAGGAGAGCAAAGAGACGTCACGATGCCTTTGCCTCCAATCATGTAATACTTGGGGCGCTTGTGACTCCTAGCCAGTTGTCTCTGTGCATGGGCTCCTGCTGCTGCTCATTAGCTTGTGCATAGACAGGCTCTTCTGTAATGCATTTGTGTCCTGCACACAAGTCCTGCACACGTTCACAGAAGTGAGGGGAGGCTCTCAGCTAATGAAGCCACTTAAATGTAAAATTCGGGAGGTGGCCCGAGGGCAGTGTAGCTGGTGAGAGTAGAGCTAGGGGAGCATTTTTTTCCATGACCCCCATACTTCTCTGCATCTCCCGTGCCTTACCGTGTTACATATATACTGTTGTAGGAGGCTGCTAGTTAGTTCCCGGCTGCTCAGCACCGAAATAATCACACAGAAACTATATTATTTGCAATATTGTTTGGCCAATAGCTTAAGCGTATTTTTGGCTAACTCATATCTTAAATTAGCCCAACTCCATTAATCCGTGTATCACCACGAGGCTGTGCTTACCAAGTAAAGTTCTGGCATCTGTCTCTGGTGGGGCTACATGACTTCTCTAAGCTTTGCCTTCTTTCTCCCAGCATTCAGTTTACATCCCCCACCTCCATTCTGCCCTGTGCAGACCTAAGACCGTTTCTTTATTGGTATTCACAGCATACAGAGGGGAATCCCACATCAATATACAAACATTGCACCTTAGGAAATGATGGAGGTGAAGCCAAAACAAAGGTTAGTCTAAAGCAAGTAAGGATGTCATTCCTGCTCTGTGATGCAAGACACAGGAGGAGGGAGAGCTTCCAGCTGCCCTAAGAGACTATCGACAGTGCGGCTGCTCCTGACATGTGTACATCTGCTCCTCATGTGACATGTGACATCTGCTCCTCACACGTACTATTTTCTATATGCATGGAGCTTCTCTTGAAGTCTAGTAAGAGAAAATTAATTTAAAACCAACAGAAACAATAAAGATTCTTCCTTTTTTTTTAAAAAAAAAAAAACCTTTAAGGAGGAACTCCAGGATTAGAGCCCCAGTGTTTGGGGCTGCCTTTCCTCAGCTCACCTCCCTGAGAAGATAGCTCTGCCACTACCTGGTCCCCTTCATCATTGTTACCGTCTTCAGAGGGCTTGGGTGTGGGTGGGGTAGAGTCAAGGACCAGAGTGACTCCCAGACCTCCCTGAATGTCACTAATTCCTGAGGGAAAGGGGGACATTAAATATTTAGCTAAAAAGAGTAAAAAAAAAAATTTAACGGAAAAATAAATAAATAAAGCACCATGATGAGTCCAGAGAGGGCTGCAGAAGCCCAGACAGCGCTAGCTTGCTTCCTGAGTGAGTCCTGTGTTGCCAGGTTGCACTGGTCCCTGCATCATGTAGCTTGCTCTACGAGCCTTGCTGCTCAAAATGCACCTCATGACCAGTAGCCTCAGCACCACATGGATACTTAGTAGGAATATGGAATCCCCAGCTCCGTCCAGATCCGTTCCTTACAAATGTGTATTTTAAATAGGAGCTCTGGGCAAGTCACACCAAATATGCATTTGGATTCAGTGACTGGTCAGAGGATGTCTCGATTATTTCTGCCATGACTCTTAAATGTGTCATCTTTCTTCTTTGACATAAGATCACCACTGTCCCTGTGATACTGCAGGGTGGAGAGGAGGAAAAGACTGCTCAGTAAGAAGCAAGGAGAAGGACTTGTTTACTGAGTGCTGTGCTTGGCCAGCCAGGCGGCTTGAACTCACTTTGCCCCCTTTTCTACCTCTGGACTTGAGAGCTAGCAGCCTCCCCAGCAATGCCAAGAGTGGCCAGCTTGAAATAGCCCATAGAGCTCCTGGAAATTGCTTTGACCTTCAGCTATATAAGCCTTCGGGACTTGCCAGCCCTTTCCTGATGAGGGGGATGGAGCTTACCGCTCACTCTTGGCAGAACTGATTTTGAGTTCACCTGGAACATGCTTGTGATATGTTTAGTAACTCTTCAGGTTCAAACAAGACCTACACCTTTATAAACTGAACCCCTAAGCCTTCCTCTTTCCCGTCCCCAGCTTTGCCTGGGCACAGTGTCTGGCCTGGCAGGAATAGAGGGGGCAACAGTGAGTTGTCATCACGTGTGACTGTACCGTGAAGGCACGTGGTCAGGAACTGGGAAGGACAGACAGGCTGTTTCGTTAATTGGAATGTGTCCTCTTCAAAGTTCATGCCTTGAGGACCAATAATTCTATGCCCAGGGATCGACCCCGAGGAAAGAGCAGAGCCTCATCAAGTTGTGCAGGATAAATGTCATCCCTACAAAATCTATAAGAGCAAGAAGTTCAGAACAGAGCCCGTGCCCTCGGGGTCCACCCAAAAGGAGAATATATGTGGAAAGAAACTAGGTTCTACATTTAGTTTATTTTTACACTTTAAAATATGAATGAAAATAGCTTTGCTACTATGTAAAACAGCAATTGGTCCTCGCTTCCTTGAGCTGCGCTCAAATCAGCCATGTTTCTGTAAGGTTCGCTGGGAAGGAGCCTGGGTCTTCCCGTGGATGGATCTGGGCATGATGCTCAGAGTTTTACCAATGGGTGAGAGGCGTCTTAGCAATGCTCCTAAGGGAACAGGATTTCTCCCCCAGCCCCGTGGAGGCAAAGCGCAGGGCTGACTGGGGAGCCCACTCTGTGGAAGCACAGAGCCCTCACCCTTGAGTGAGCGCCAGCACCTTAACTTATAATTTGTTGTGTGTGGGTGTTCTGCCAGCATGGATGCGTGCATCCTACCTTCATGCCTTCATGCCCAGAGATGCCAGGAGAGAGTGTTTGATTCCCTGGATCTGGGGTCACAGGTGGGTGGTTGGGAGCCTCCATGTGGGTGCTAGGAACTGAGCTTACTCTTCTGTAAGAGCAGCTGATACTCTTATACGGTGAACCATCTCCCTAGTGCAGGTTCAGCTTTTGAATGGGAAGCTCCAGTGTGTTTCAGCTCTAGAGTGTTTTGCAAGGGCCCAAGGGGTCTCTTGGGAAGAAGTTTCCTAGCAGAGTTTATCACAGCTCTCACCCCTGAGAGATCTCACTTCCTTAACAATGACCATAAAGATGCAGAAACCTACAACCAGGCAGCCAAATGTTTATAGACAGGCCAGCAGGCTCACTTGTATGGGTACAAGATTGATGAAAAACATGTCTTCCTGCTGTTGTAGTGTTGGGGGAGTAATGAGACCTTTGAAAACACCAATAGTACAATTACTTGGAGAGGCCAAGGCAGAGGCCTTGGAGGAACCTGGAGACGCCAGGTTCAAAAATACGCAGGAGGGTCTGGCCATTGAGCCCTGAGGAAAGAGAATTATGACAGGACAGCCAGAGCAAAGACCAGGTAGGCCAGGTAACCACTCTGAAATCTTGGTTTTTCAAAATTTCACTCTTGGTGTTTGGCAGAGTGAAAGGGTCAAGGAAAACGTGGAATGAAATAACCAATCATAACATTGCAGTCCTGTGCCGGTTTGAAACACGCACCCTGATCTCTGCCCTGTTGTTTTTCACCTTTGCGCCAGCTCTGACCTCCTCCGTTCTGCTGGCCTCGGCACTGCAGGTGGCCCTTGTCCGCATTCTGCTTTTCACTGCAGCAAAGAGCTAGTGACCAAGTGTGACGAGGAGGTACGGGGAAAGGCGTGCTTATTAGCAGACATTTCCATTAGTTAAATGCATAGCACTCCTGTAAAGAGAGACTGACCCAAAGCCCCCCAGAATTTTGGCTCTACAGATACAGTTCCTGAGTTTTCTAACATAAACACCCACCTTTTAAATAACGATGCTGCGTTTAAACAGTTTTCTGAAAGAGGGTTGGTGGTTAAAACCTTGGCGCATCTCAAAACTATGAAAACTCTTATTATTTGGAATAAATCTCATTAATGTGCATGTGGTAATTGAATTACTCTCTAATTAATGGAGCGTTACCTGGGGCAAAGGTGGATTAGCTTCTCTTCTCTGGTTGCCCTTGAATGTCACCTTGGGTTTGTGGGAGAGATGATGAAGGCAATGAGGGCTGTGCATTGGTATTTCAGACACAAAGACCGTTACCAGGGCGGCTCCAGACATGTCCCCCGGACCATCAGTTTTCAACAGCGCCATGGCCCGGACCAAGATGAAACACATGAAGGAGTAAGTAGTGTGCTGGCTGTCCCCAGGGACACAGCGGCCAAAGTGTGATCCGGCGGGGCGATGCTGCCTTAGTTCCTTTGTGCGGTATAACAAAACGCCCGACACTGGGTTGTTCTGAACAGTGCAGGTGTTTCTCATCAGCTTTGCAGACTGGGAGGACAAATATCAAGGTCCCAGCAGACCCCTTGTCTGGTGATGATTGGACATCTCTGCTCCCAATAGGGTACTTTGCCACTCCATCCTCTCATGATGATTGACTGAAGTCCATCTTTTGTAAAAGCCTTAATCGCGTTCACCACCAGAAGCCCCACAGCTCTTTCCCTTCCAGCGTGTGGCCCTGTGGAAGTAAGGAGTCAGGTGCTTCCAGAACGGTGGTGCAGTAGGCCTGCGAGAGACCTGCCCATCTCAAAAGGGAAGAGTGCTGCAGAGGACAGGGCAACTGGACCCAAGCAAGTCCCAAATCCAAAAAAGTAAAGTGTGTGTGTGTGTGTGTGTGTCCTCCTGAGGCATCATCTGCCATATTTTTTGAGGTAGGTATCTCCTCAGCCAGGGAATCACTCTGTGGGCTAAGCTACTTGAACATCCAGTCCCAGGGATCCCCCTGTCTCCACCTCCCCAATACTAGGATTACAAACAGCTACTATCACACCTGGGTGTTTTAACGTGTATGCTGGGGGTTGAATTTTTAGGTCCTCATACTTTCAAGGTAATCTGCTGACTAACTGAACTATTTTCTCAGCCCAGTAAAAGTAATCTTGAGGCTTAAGAATAATCTATGACTCTGAGTCCCATCCTCTAGACATAGCAGGATGGAAAGGCCCATGTTACAGCCTTTCCCAGGCTGGTGTCACGTGCTGGTAGCACTAGCGTGGCCTTAGTCCCACAGTTTCACTGGATACTGCCTTGGGGGTAGTAGCCCTACCCCTGAAACAATTCTCTGCCTGGGCTTGAAGGTTCTCCAGTACATACTTTGAATCTAGGTGAAGGTAACTGTCTCCTCGCCATAGATTTCACACTCTGTGAATCTGAAGAGTTAGCTGCACAGACCCTGCCAGAGGTAGAGTGTGTTCCTACCCCAGCAGTGGCCTAGGCTACATCTGGGCCCACTTGAGCCATGCAACATTGTGGCAAATACATGAAGCGGACACTTGAGTCAGTGATGGGCAGCAGATCTGGAGTTCTGTGAGGTCTGGGCTTCCCCTATGAAACTGTTATCCCAAGTCCCTGATACCCTGTGGTGGGGATGGACCTTGGAAGATCTCTGCAATGCCTTTGGGATAATTCTTCCATTGTTCTATTCAAACAAATATTACCAAATATTTATTTGGATATACTATTGGTATTCTCTTTCAAACATACTTTATTATTATTATTTTATATGATCAGGATGAGAATTACCTTTTTTTTTCTTTTTTTGTTTTTTTTTTGGGGGGGGGGGCAGGGTTTCTCTGTAGCTTTGGAGGCTGTCCTGGAACTCCCTCTGTAGGCCACGCTGGCCTCAAACTCACTGAGATCCACCAGGCTCTGCCTCCTGAATGCTGGGGTTAAAGGTGTGCGCCACCACTGCCCGGCTGAGAAATGCCATTTTTAACTCACTTTTCTCTTCTCACATTTTCCTACAAGTAGTCACAAAATTATGCCTCCACCGTCACACTTTGCCTAAAGATTTCTTCTTCTAAATATGATGTTTCGGCAGCAGCAAAAGTTCTTACTTCTAACGAACTTGAACATGGCTGCAGTTCAGCCAAGGGTTTTGCCTCTTTATAATGAGGGCAACTTTGCCTCTCGTTTCTAATGGCGGCTTCCTTCTGGATTGGCATCAGAGCAGTCCTTGCTATCCACCTCGCACTCAGTACTCGGTTCATGAGCTGAGACCATCTCTGAGCAGCCTGAGGTTCTCTACAGCTTCCTTCTCTGGCCCTTCATCAGGATAGCACTTCACAGTCTAGCCTCCACCTGTTAGCCTGTCCCAAAGTTGCACCGCATGTTTAGATAGCTGTGACATCTGGAAACAAATTCTGTCTGTCCTCTTGTGTTTCTGTAGAAAAATAGTTCAAACTTGGTTCTTTGTAAACATTGAACTTTCTTGTGAGTGCGGAAGTCCGAGATTGAGGCACCGGCCTGTTCACTGCCTGGTAAGGGCTCAGTTTCTGTTTCCCAGATGGTACTTCATGCTATATACTCATAGGGCAGAAGGGACAGAACGGTAAACAAGGGGCCTAGCCGCTTCCCTCCAGCCATTTTATCAGCTCGGTAAACCTCTTCATGACTGTTGAAATACTGTAACCTGATCAGATCCCAGATAGGCCCAGTTCTTCGTATAGTGGTACTGAGGTTGATTTTCACTGTGTGTTTTGGGGGAGCACAACATTCAAACAGATGCATTTCAATTGGCCTCCTCCACAAAAGTATGTGCAGTGGTAGATGGGATCAGGAACACTGGCCAGAAGATGCCCGGATCTCCATCCCAAGCTCCTGTGACAGGTCTTGTGACAAGAGGTGCTTAACTTCCTACTCTAACCCCTCCCATCTGGTCCATGTCTGTAGGTCAGAGTCCAGCATGCCTTCCCCACAATGGAATACATAGTAATTGTTTTTAGGCTTCATAAGCCTGCAGTTTCTGTTACAATTACTCCCACAATGGAATACATAGTAAATGTTTTTAGGCTTCACAAGCCTACAGTTTCTGTTACAATTTCTCAACTTTTGTCCTACAATACAAAAGCAGCCACAGGCAATATGGCAATAATTGTACATGGCCATCTTTCTTGGCCACATTATTTTTAAGAGCAAATGTTAATTTTGTATAATTTTCAGACCTCACAAAGATTTTTCTTTTCTTTATTGTTTTTTTTCTTTTTGTAGTGCTGATGATTGAATCCAAGGCCCGAGCATGTTAAGGCAAGAGCTCTCTGCCAGTGAGCTATGGCCACAGTTCAATTTTTTCCCCAACTGCTGAAAATACGACAATTCCTAATTCACAGGCTGTATGAACGCAAGAGGGGGTGGAATTGGCCTGTGAACTGTGTGTTTTCCTGGCTCATACTACCAGTATTACAACTGAATTTCCCTCTGAAATCTATCGTCTAGATGAGCAATAGTTAGGGAAGGTGAGGGAGAATTGTTTCCCAGGCAGATTGCTTAGGAATTGTTCTTGTAATAGATTGTGTCATCCCAATCACTGCTTGAAAGAAAACTCGCTGAACGATTTCCAAATAGAAAGCTGTGTTTGTGAGTTCTGCCTACAACAGGGTACGTACAGGGTAACTCAGTTACCATGACAACAACTGAGTCCCAGGAACTAGAAGTGGGGGACTTGGGGCTCCTTTTCCCATCTCTTCCTACCTCCATCTCTCCTGATGAGAAAGAAGAGAAAGATTTACTAATCTCTCAATTGATGATCTTTAAAGAGAAAGACAGTGGCTGACGTTTTTCATTCATGGTCATGAGGGTTTTTGTCATTTAAGACTTCATTACTTTTTGCATTGCACAGAATGTCCCGTTACCTAGCATATTAAAGAATACTTGAAATAATTCAAATCAAAGAGACTTTGCCAAATTGAATGACCAAAGTTCGTTCTAGTTATTTCATTACATTGGTAGGTTGTTCTCTTGTTAGTTTTTTTTTAATTTTATATATATATATACATATATATATATGATAAGTTACTACTGATTATCATTTATTGGTTTTAAAATAAAAAGCATAAAAGGCTTCATTTACATGTTGAAAATATCCATCACTCAACACAACAAATCAACTCCAAACATTGATGTAAAATCATTAACCATTTAGCCACTCAGCTGAACAGTTTTATACACTGGCCTTGGGTGCATTGTGCTGACACTTTTGTCTAGTTTCGATCATGGATTGATACTCATATCTAATTGCATACAATATATTTTGATTGCATTCTTTCCTCTCCCCCAATTCCTTCCAGAGCCTCCCCATCCACCTACCTACACAACTTCATATGTTCTCTCTCTCTAAAAAAATATAAAATAAGGCCAAAGAAAGCAAGCAAAAAATAACATACAGAAATACCGAAACAAAACGAAAATGCGCGCGCGCACACACACACACACACGTGGGCACACGCAAACCCAAACCATGGAGTTTGTTTTGTGTTGGTCAGCTGCTCCCAGAGGAGTGGGATTCAGAGAGGTGAAGAGAAGGGAGGAGAGGCTGCCAGGGAGCCAGTTTTGGTCAAGTCCTTGGCTTTACTAAAATAGGTGGTTTCACAACCTTTGCTGAGTGAGTTTCTTTCTTTGTTCTGTTTTGAGACAGGTTTTCTCATCATAGCACAGGTTGGCCTGAAACTCACTATCCTTCTGCTTCTGTCTGCTGAATGAGTGATGGAATTATAGGTGTGGACCATGATTTTCTAAGATTCGGCTTCCTGGTCTGCCAAGTGGTAACATTATTTCTACAGCTGAACCCTTGGGGTGCCAACTCAGGATGGAGCTTAATATACAGGTTTGGAGGGGTGTGCTCTTGAGATTGACATGTGTAATTTAAAAAGAGAAGTAAGCAGGCTGTCTGTAGAGAAACATACACACACACACACACACACACACACACGAACATGAGCAAATTGTGTGTGAGTGCCCACAGGTGCCAGCTAGGTGACTTAGTATATTCAGTGTTCAACACAAAATAAACCTGAGCGCAGTAGTCGAGGGAGGGTGAGGGGACGCAGTGATTGGATTCATAATCCTGCTTGCCGCTTGTCCTAGCTTCATTGTCAACTTGAGTCTCAACTGAAGGATGGCTCATATTCAGATTTGCCTGAAGAGGATCGCTTGACTGTCTTGTTGTGGAAGAGCCAACTGTGAGCAGCACCATTCCCAGAGCAGGTGCTCGTAGGATGTATGAGAAAGTTAGCTTAGAAGGAGCTGAGTGTGGAAGCCAACCAGCAAGGAGCATTGACCTTGCTTTCTATTTAAAGTCCTGCTTGGGTTCCTGTGCTGACTTTTCTTAGTGATGGACTGTGACCTAG